AACTAAAGAGAACAATTAATCTGAAAAATTAATTTGCACCTCTCAAAATAGCCCCAAATAGCTGAAATTATCTCTACCATTCGATTTCCGGAGTCCCTGCTGCAAAACCATGGGTCGTACAAAGTGAATTAGGAAGCCAGAAATTTGACACACCCGTGCTGCGACCGTGTTGACATTCCACTGTGTGACACATCTATGACCCGGGTGTGTCATGGTACCTACGGTTGCTATGACCCGGGTGTGTTACCGCCGTGTCATGATCGTGTCCCAATTCCAATAAGGGACACAACTGCGACACATTCCCGACACAACCATGTCGCCGAACCCAGCCCTCCCCTGACCAATTCTGCTCTAGATCCACCTCCAATTGATCCTCCCAGGCCTGGACGTCCTCAACGCACTCATCCAATGACCCTAAGGCACTTGACTCATGATTCCCCATATAACAAAGCTTTAATTGCCCTAAATGGAGGATCACGATGGAAGAAGCATTTAATGCACTGTTGCACATGTAAAAAAGCTTTAATTGCCCTAAAACTTTGTACAACAGCACTTGGAAGCCAGTTCCAAATAAACGAGATATGAATTTGATTGGATGCAAATGGGTTTATTGAATCAAAAGAAGAGCAGATGGTAGAATTGAACGATACAAAATCAAAATTATTGCATGCCATAATACTATAATAGTAGCTGCACTTTTTATATTTTGTATGTATGAAGAATGCAATGGCTTAATTGTTGGTCCTAGATAAATTGAAGTCTAGAAGAAGATTGAATATGTTTTAGAATGCTTTTAAAAAAATATATAGAAGAAAGAAGAAGAAATGGGTTAGTTCTTCAATTAATGACCAATCAACGCACTACAATGTGAAAGAACACAATTACACACTAATTAATGTAGTAATGCCATTTAGTATGCATACATAGATGATGGAAATTGGCACCCCATTATGCTATATTCTTTCTATATATTAAAGCCATATAGCCATGGCCAATCAAATGGCTGCATTTTCCCGCCTATGTAAAATTACTACGTAGTTTCAATTATTAGGTGATTTTTCTTTTGTCTTTTTTTTTTTTTTTTGGTTTAGATCATTTAATTGATCTTTTGCAATTTGTATTGCTTTATAGGACTTTTCGTATTCCAATGTATTGATGGTGAATTGAATTGCTAATACTGCCGCTTTGCACTACCAACTAATAAATTAATTAATAAAATGATATATAAATGCACTTGGTATCTTCAGTTTTCAAGAGGCATGCATACTAAATCATCATGATTGTATTTTTTTTTAAAGGTGAAATCCTCCATATTGCAGCCTATATAATGACCACTCAGATGAGAACATTTGCATGCATAACACGCCTTGCAGAGCAGAAACCTTTTCAAAATGCATTCTTGATACATACTTGCAAGCCAAACTCGCATTTACACAAAGAAAACCTATAAGAATTAGTTTAGTGAGAAAATGTGAAATACAGGAATTTCAAAGATGAACATCTAGTAAAAACGAAGGACATCTAACTAGAGCAATGACTGCCTATTCATGATGAGGTAAACATACCTTATTTATGATCTTTTTAATTGTAAGCTGTATTATTTGTGAAAAGTTTCTATAAAATGTTTTTATTTTATTTTATTCTGTTAGGGTACATATATTTTACGAAGATAGATACAGTGAATGGAATGGAGTGATTTTGGAATTGAACTCAAGTAGGATCAAAATAGTTTGAAGTAATTCTTTTAATGTAAAGGAAGCAGGTAATTCAATAGGTTGGAAAGAAATGCATTTACATGAAAATTCAGTTTATTGTTTACTGAAATAAAAAGACTTGAGTAATTCGAGCTAGAGCGGTTTCTCTCTGTTCGATAAAATTCTCTCGTTTTCCGCAGCTTTCTACTAGGGTTTCCTAGGTCTTCGACGGTGATCGGTGTCTTCACTCCGGACGATGGCCGGCGACGTAAGCATGGTGGGCGAACGGTTAGGGCAGGGCGAGGAAGTGAGTGGACATCACGAACAAAGGGGTGAGGGGATTTCCGATGGTGGTTTGCGACGGCAAGAGGGGGCGAGGCAGGGCGGTGGGCGGACTGGTGGGGAGGGGCTGATGTTGGGATGGGCAGAGGCGGGGAGGGAATGGTTCCAGGTTACATGCGAAGGGAGGGGGAGTATGACGGTGGGGAAGGGTTGCGACGTAGGGGTGATGGACCGGTGAGGGATGCAGGTAGTGTAGAGGGGAGATTAGGGGGCAGTCGTGAGCAGCATGGGAGGGGAGGGGATGGGTCTGGTCGGCCGGCAGTGGTGGCTGAGGTGACGGGGTTGACGGACCGGTGGGCGGATTGGGCACTGCTGGAGGAGGAGGGTGCGGTGTTTATGCCGGGAGGGGAGAATGACGGGGATGAGGGTGAAGGGGAAGGTGAGGAGGAGACATGGAGGGTGGTCGCGCGGTTCTTGACGCAAAAGCAGATCAAACTGGATTTTATGAGGCAGGTGTTAGCGTCAGTATGGCAGCCAGTGCGCGGGGTGCAGGTAACGGAGATTCAGAGGGGTTTGTTCTTATTTGTTTTTTTCCACAAAATGGATATGGACTACGTTCTGAATGGGGAACCCTGGGCTTTTGAGAACAATGCTCTTGTGTGTTGGGAGGTGGTGGACGGGGTGAATCCTGTGGATGTGAAGCTGGACATGATTGATATGTGGGTACAGCTGCACGACATGCCTAAGGGGGTACACATCTCATGCAATTCTGGAACAGGCAGGGAATTTTTTGGGCTCTTTTGTTAAGCATGATGAGCGTTTTGAGGGGGCATCATTGTTAACTTTTCACCGTATACGGGTGTCAATACCGGTTGATAGGCCACTGAGGAGGAGAATGAGATTGATGAAGAGAGACATGACTACAACTTGGGTTAATTTCTGGTATGAGCGGCTGCATAAGTTTTGCTATTTTTGTGGTTATATGGGTCACTTGCATATGTTTTGCCTACAAGCTAGGGAGGCGGAGGCGGAGGTGCCAGTGGATAGGTATTTGTACGGTCCGGATATGCGGGCTGGTGGTTCCCGGAGCGCTCCTAGAGCGGTTGGGGATAGCTGGCTCGTGCCGGTCGGTGGGAAACCACGTCCATTGGTGAAGCCACGGATGATTGGGGCAGTAGAAGGGGACAGGAGAAGTGAGAGAGTAACGCCCACGTGTATGTCTGAGGATGAGGTGGTGGTGGCTACGGCAAAGCATCGTAGACATGTTACGGGGAGGGGGGAGGATGGTGTGGCGGAGGAGGGAGTAGTGACAGATGGTTCAAAAAACTTGCCAATGGCGGGAGCTGGAGTCCAGCCCCGCCCGTCATCATTAGTACGTTAACCTGGAACTGTCGTGGCTTGGGCAATCCACACACAGTTCGAGAAGTTGTGGACATGGTGTCCCGTAAGAAGCCAGAGTTTGTGTTCTTGATGGAAACCAAGGTGGAAAGGAGTCAGGCGGAGAGAGTCCATGTCAGGCTTGGCTACGAGGGTTTGTTCTATGTGGATAATGACGGGTTAAGTGGGGGTATGGCACTACTATGGAGGAAGAACAACACGGCCAGGTTGTTGAGTTATTCGCCAAACCATATTGATATTGAGGTTAGTATGACAGGCAAGTTATGGCAGATGACATGTTTGTATGGTTGTCCGGATCGAAGTAGAAGGGAGGAAACCTGGGAGCTGCTGAGTGTGTTGAGAAGTAGATCTGGGTTACCTTGGGTGGTGATAGGGGATTTTAATAATCTTCTCTATCAACATGAAAAGAGAGGGGGGAATCCATATCCAAACAGCCTCCTGCGTGGGTTTGGGGAAACTGTTGATGAGTGTGGGCTAGTGCAGATGCCAATGCGGGGCTGCCAGTTCACTTGGGAAAAGAGTAAAGGAATGGTGAATTGGATACGAGAGAGGCTGGATAAGGTGTTAGTTACGGATGAATGGGGGAATATGAATGAGAATGCTAGGGTGGAGAATCTGCAGACTAGGAAAGTTAGATCACTCGGCTTTGTTCCTCTGTGTGAATGCAATCACCATGCGTAGGGTAAGAGGGCCGAGGAGGTTCAGGTTTGAAAATGCGTGGCTATTGGATGAGGGGTGCAAGGAGGTGGTGGAGACAGCCTGGCAGGAAGGGAGGCCGGAGGGCCTGTTGCACTGTCAACAGGTGTTGAACTCTAAAGAAGGAAGTGTATATATGTATTGCGATAATGAACTGAATGAATAGAGTACAGGAAGCCTATGCTCATATACAAGCTAAAGGGAAACTCCTAACCACTTATTTCAAAATTCAAATGGGTAGTTAGGATACTTCCTCTAACAACCTACTAACACTCCCCCTCAAGTTGGAGCATAGATATCAAACATGCCCAACTTGTTATATATATATGAAACCCGATTTTTACACAACCCTTTCGTGAATATGTCAGCCAGTTGATCACCGCTCCGAACATGTGTAAGTGATATGAGTCCTTGCTCCACTTTTTCCCGTACAAAATGGCAGTCAACTTCAATATGCTTCGTCCGCTCGTGAAAGACCGGATTATTCGCGATGTGTATGGCAGCACAGTTATCACACCACAAATCTATCGGTAACTTCACTTCAACACCCACTTCTTTTAGAATGTTACGCACCCAGACTATTTCGCTCGCCACATGAGCCATAGCTCGGTATTCCGATTCAGCACTTGAACGTGACACCACATTCTGCTTCTTACTCTTCCACGAGACCAAATTGCCTCCTACAAACACACAATAACCTGTCATAGACTTCCTGTCACCTGGTGAACCAGCCCAGTCTACATCGGAGAATGCCTCAACACGCATATACCCGTGGTCAGCATAAAGGATCCCTTTTCCAGGAGCACCTTTCAAATATTTCACAATCCGAACCGCCGCTTCCCAGTGAGTCTGGGTTGGTGCACTCATGAATTGACTAACCACACTCACTGGAAATGCAATATCTGGACGGGTAATTTTGGTAAGAAACTGATGCGATGGGGGGGGGACCAGTTTCATAAATTTGGCCAACGCATTGGACAGCTGCGGAGACAGCAAGAGAGATTCCATGATGTAACGGATCAGGATGCTTTGGCCGAGTTTCAACACAATGAGAATCAATTAAAGCAGTTGGAGGCCCAGGAGGATGTGTTTTGGAGGCAGCGTGCGAAACAACACTGGCTACGGGGTGCAAATACTAACACGAAGTTCTATCACAGGTATGCTTCTGCCCGTAGAAAGAAGAATTTTATTGCTAGTCTTAAAAATGATGATGGTCAATGGGTGGAGGGTACTGATATGCATTCGGTGGTATTGGAGTACTTTAATAGCATATTTACTTCTAATAATATGAGCTGTGATGATCCCCTTTTTAATGATTTTGCCCCCCGTGTGTCGAATGAGAATAATGAGATGTTGAATCAGCCTTTTACGAAAGAAGAGGTAAAAATAGCGTTGTTTGCTATGTACCCGGATAAAGCACCAGGCCCGGATGGAATGAATCCGGGTTTCTACCAGCATTTTTGGTCTATTGTGGGCGAAGATGTGTCTGGTTTTATTCTGCATGCTTTGAACTTTGGAATATTCCCAGAAAGCCTGAATGATACTAACATAGTTTTGATTCCTAAGAAGGAGGTCCCGGAGACTGTTGCAGAGTTGAGACCGATTGCGTTGAGCAATGTCATTTATAGAATAATGGCAAAAATGATGGCGAACAGAATGAAGAATTTGATGGTTGATATCATCTCGGAATCACAGAGTGCATTTATTCCTGACAGATTAATTACAGATAATATCTTGGTGGAAACAGAGGTGGGGCACTACTTGAACAGGAAACAGTGTGGTGTAGTAGGCTGGAGTGCACTGAAATTGGATATGTCTAAAGCATATGATAGGATGGAGTGGAATTTTTTGGAAAAAATGATGAGGGCGCTGGGTTTTGGTGACAAATGGGTCAAACTAATAATGTTGTGTGTGACAACAGTGAGCTATACGGTGATGGTGAATGGGGAGGTGGGTGGGTGTGTCAAACCGACTCGTGGCCTCAGGCAGGGAGATCCTCTTTCCCCTTGCTTATTTATTTTCTGTGCTGAGGCTCTTTCGATGTTATTACAGAGGGAACAGATAACAGGTTCTATTCATGGATGTAGAGTGGCAAGGGGTGCTCCTCCGGTGTCCCATTTATTCTTTGCGGATGATAGTCTGCTTTTCTTTAAAGCAAATATTCACGAGGCTAATGTTATTAAAAAATGTTTGGAGAGGTATGAGAAGCTTTCTGGACAGGTGGTGAATTTTAACAAGTCAAATATATGTTTTAGCCGGAATACCCAACATATGGCTAGAACGCAGGTGGCAAGCTGTCTCGAGGTAGTGCAGGCAAATAATTTTGGGAAATATCTGGGCCTCCCATCATTTGTGGGCAGAAATAAAAGAGCAGTTTTTTCCTATGTGGAGGGAAAGATCAGGCAGAGGATTGGATCGTGGAGCACAAAGTTATTGTCTCAGGCTGGTAAGGAGGTCTTATTGAAAAGTGTGGCACAATCTATGCCAACTTTTTCAATGAGTGTTTTTTTGCTGCCTAAAACAGTTTGCCAATCCATTGAGAGAGCCATGAATAGATACTGGTGGGGAAGTGGGAATGATAGGGGATACATTGGAAGGCATGGGATAAATTATGTATCCCCAAAGAAGTTTGGTGGTCTGGGTTTCAAGGAATTGAGAGCTTTTAATCTGGCTATGTTGGGCAAGCAGGCGTGGCGTTTTTTGACAAACCCAGATTCGCTGGTCGCAAGAATATATAAAGCCAGGTATTACCTCACTTCTAGTTTTGTTGACGCTACTATTGGTAATTGCCCAAGTTTTTGTTGGAGAAGTATAATGGCAGCACATCCAATAGTGGTAGCTGGGATAAGGCGCAGGATTGGAAATGGTGAGACAACTCTGATTTGGGGACACCCATGGCTCCAGGATAATCCAAGCCCCTTGGTACAAACAATTATGCCTGAAGAGTTAAGAGAAGCACGAGTAGCAGGTTTGATAGATTCACAAACACGAACATGGGATCCACATATATTATCTGATTTATTTATCCCTGAGGATGTGAGCAGAATAGTTAAAATTCCTGTTAGTCCTGATTATGATGATTCATGGTACTGGATGGGTGACCCAAAAGGAATTTATTCAGTAAAGAATGCCTACAGGCGTATTATTGGTGATTATGAGAACAACCCAGGTGATTTTGATAAATGGGTTACAGTGTGGAAATTGAAAGTACCACCAAAGTGGAAGACTTTTTTATGGAGAGTAGTATGTGATATTTTACCCACTACCACGAATTTAATTAATAAGAGGGTAGAGATTGACCCGGTTTGTCCTATGTGCATGATGACTAATGAAGATGTGTTGCATGCGTTAGTATATTGTGAATATTCTGTATTAGTTTGGAGTATAACACGATTACCCATCACAAACATTGTTACAGATTCGTTTGCAGCATGGCTAGCTGGGGCTATGGTGATTTTAACAGAGGAGCAAACACAGCTATTGGTGGGTGTTTTGTACAATATTTGGAGAGGCCGCAAAGAGGCCAAGTCACGGCCACAGGCTATTGTGAAGGGGCCGGCGGTTTTGCTCGAAACATATGGTGGGGTGCACGGCCGAGCCAAGCAAGGAGGAGTACAGCGCCACTCTGAACCGGAGTTGCCAGATTATCACATGCGATGCTATATAGATGCGGGGTATCGGCAGGAAACCGGGGAGGCTACCTATGGGATTGTGTTATTAGAGCCTGGAGGCTCGTTTGTGGCAGCAAAGAATGGAAAATCACCCTCTTGTTTTTCACCACTCATGGCGGAGGCTATGGCTTTTAAAGAGGCACTGTCCTGGTTAGTTGAAAGAAGTATCAATTCGGCCAGTCTGCTCACGGACTGTATGGTATTACGTACCACCATTCACCACCAGACTACACCCATCCACTCGTATGCGGGTTTAATAATTGACCAGTGCAGAACAATGTTGTCTTATTTAATTTTGTTTCGTTAAACTATGTGTCTAGACAGATTAATTTACATGCTCATACTTTATCTTCGTTAGCTTTTACTCAGGAACATTCTAAGTATTGGGATTCTATCCCGCATGATGCTATTATGGCGTTCTTTAATTAATACAATCGACAGATTGACTTTTCAAAAAAAAAATAAAAAAAATTAGGTTATTGGTTTAAAAAAATGAGATTAATCTACTTTTTATACTTACAATTTTATTGAAAAGGAAAAAACTTGTTAGGAATATTTTGTAAATTTTGATGAGCCGAATGTATTTTTGAAAAATCAAGTAGTCCCCATTTTTATTCTATTTGAGTCAGTTTGAGTATACGGAGTATGGTGCACCCATATCATGCAACCCATGTACAAGTCTGGAAGATCATGATTTATTTGAAGAAGTTAAGCGGGATTATAGCTTAACATAATTATGATGCGGATAAGTCACCAAGAACCATGTTAGAGGAGTTGGAAGAAACATGTGTGAGCTATGCTAAATAAACCTAAGTTCGAATCTCAAGTGAAGTATTTTTAAGCTGCATTTTTAAGCTTGGGAGACTAGCTTGGACCGTATGGGAGACTAGCTCTGACCGTATAACCGTATGGGAGACTAGCTTGGACAGTATGGGAGACTAGCTCAAGGTCAAGTATATTGGACCATATACTGTATGGGAGACTAGCTTGGACAGTATGGGAGACTAGCTCAAGGTCAAGTATATTGGACCATATACCGTATGGGAGACTAGCTCAAAGTATACCAAACCTTGAAATTGAGACTAGCTAAAAGAGAGACTAGCTAACAATATGGAGACTAAGTAAAATGCACAAGTGTCACAAAAGCCATGCACCAAATGGAGAAACATACCAAGTATGGTGGACCAAGCTTAAATTCGAAACATAGCATCTCACCATGAACAACTATGAAGTTTTTACAGAGGTTCCAGTATATTATTTTACAAGGATCATGAAGGAGAAAATATCTGATATATTTTCATATGAATATCAAAGTTTTTACGGTGGAATCGGAGACGCTTGAAGAAGGCTGATTCGCGGAGAAATTATTTTATACTCAAGCAAGAATCAGCAGATAAATTATTTGATCAACTTGACATGTCAGAGCATTTATGAAGGACAAGAAATATCAAGCTTGCTGCGCCGAACTTATTCAAATTTTGGAGGCTACAAAATTCAAGACACGGCAACGGGCAAATTATTCAAATCATCTGACAAAAAGGAGAAATGACATCTACCTAATATTTCAGATCAAGTTGACAATATCTTTTGATCAACTACAATTCAAAATGGACGATCGAGATCGAAAGATGATCAACGGGCAAATAGCTTTCACTAGCTATAAATTGTCCAAGCAGACTTGAAGACAAGCAGAAGTTCAGAGATAAGAACCCCAAGTGATTGAGCAGTTCAACAACTTGAACAACGGCTAAGACATACAAGCAAAAGATACAAGCTTTTTTTTAATTAGCCGAAAAGGGGGAAACAGAGCTTCATAGAATTAAATTCAAGTCTGAGTGAGAGAGAAATTTTATTTCTTTGTAATATTCTCTACTGAGTGTAGAAAGAGGGCGGAGTAACTAGAGAGAGTGAAAAACCCTGGTTGAGTGTAGCTTTGTGCGTAGCCCTCGTGGTGAAGGGCAGAGTTACAAGAGGAGCTTGTGAAAACCCTGTGAGGAGTGTAGCTTTGTGTGTAGCACTCGTTGTAAAGGGCAGAGTAACAAGAGGAGCTTGTGAAAACCCTGTGAGGACGTAGCTTTGTGCGTAGTTCTCGTGGTGTAGGAGTACAGCTTGGTGCGAAGTACTCGGGAAGACGAAGTAACAAGAGGAGCTTGCGAAAAACCTTGGAGGAGTGTAGCTTTGTGCGAAGCACTCGGAGAAGTGTCGGTGGACACGTATTCACTATTGTATCTGAGTGATCGAAGAATAGTGAATTTCCTCCTTGAAGTGAAAGGAGAAGAGTGGACTAGGAGGATTACACCACCTCTGAACCACTATAAATCTATCTCTCTATTTACTTACTGCTAATATATTTTGTGCATGCTTATTCTAACTGTGAACTAACCCGATTACGATTTATTGCTTATCTTTATCTGTCTGGGTTTGATAGTTCCCACGTTTGCATGCAAGCCAAACTTTACGTACATCATCCTTGAACCATATCAAGTGTTTCTAACGTGTTGCATGTTTAGAATCTCTCTTTGAGCATCACACTAATTAAGCATAACACTTTACCGCTACTTATTTCACTACACACTCTAAGTTGTTTATCTTGTTAATGCTTGTTACTTAGAGTTGAAATTATCAAAGTGTTATTTGCCTTGTGTGTTTTCGAAGAAAGTTTAAAAAGTTAGAGAAGTCTATTCACCCCCCCTCTAGACTTCTCGCCACCCTTTCGGGACCAACAAAACTTAATTATTTATGATTTATTACAATTTGATTGTTCATTCTAATACACAGTTTTGAGAGAAATAGTTATTAGATCACTTACTGAATTTTTGTTTTTAAAAATTTAAATCAGTTGTTAAATTAAAAGACGGTGCATGCCCAATACTTGCACAGAGATGAACAAATTTAAACAAATAATTATGAAACTGATATAAAGTAATTAGAAAAATGATGTATTCTTTATTTTCGTTGAAAACAAAAAAGTTAACTTGAAGAATTTTATCTCACCGAATATTTTTTTTAATTGTATTACAGATTTGGTGGCGTTTGTAAAGTAATCTGTAATATAAAACAAATAATTATGAAACCGATATAAAGTAATTAGAAAAATGATGTATTTTTTATTTTCGTTGAAAACAAAAAGGTTAACTTCAAGAATTTTATCTCATTGAATATTTTTTTAATTGTATTATATAGGTTTTGGTGGCGTTTGTAAAGTAATCTGTAAAATAAAACAGTACATATTTCAAGAGTGATTCTGATTATGGTAATTGATTTCACGAGTAGTCTAATTGAGGTTGATCTATGACCAAAACAAAATGAATAAACACAGATTCTGCAAAATGATGATCTAAATTGCATATTAAATATAAAAACATAAGAAATGGAAAAATGGACTTAGCTTTTTGTAGATCCGAATTTTTTGGAGTTTATTTATCTTCAGTAATAGCATCTAATCTAACACCGGAGAATTCAATAGAATGGAGAATATTAAAAGGAATCGCAACAAAACGGAAGAAAAAGGGAGGAATCAGAAAGAATCGTAACGAAGAAGATGTGTTGCCCCGTCGTGGTCTGCAGAGGGAGAACATGATGACAGTCAAATGGGTTAAAAGTCTTGATATGTGATGATAATGAGAATTTTGTAATTACGACTAAAAATGTTGTATGTTAAGAAATCTTTAATAATTTGTATTTTAAAAAAATAATAATTTGTACTTTCTTTATCATTTTGATAATATTATTAATCTGGGTAATTTATTTTAATTTCAAATATTTTCAGTTGTATTTTTATAATTAGACTTATATTATATTATATTAGTTTTATATTATGTCCTAATGCAATTTATATTAATTAATTTTTGAAACTCTTTATTATTATTTTCAAAAAAAAAATGAAACTCTTCATTATAAAATGTGTATTGTTATTTGTATTACCAATGTATGTTAATAGCCGTGATTAATAGTGATGGCCTGATGGAAGAATCCCTTGGCTGCATCATTTAATTATACTAACTGACTGTTCAGTCTCCAATAACAACCAGTTAATGTATTCTCTTCAAATAATATTTGAACTAAATATGTACAGACTGAAATTATTATAAATACATGTAAATAGAATATTTTCAGGGTTTGGACTTGATTTCATATTACAGTTGGGCAGAAAGTATGATGTAATTGGTAGTGTATTTAATTTGGATTATATATATATATATATATATATATATACACACGCACAAAATATTGATGTTACTCATTTAAAAAATAGATTTTGATACAAAATATGTTATATTTAAAGTTTAATCTGTTGAATATATTATATTTAACTACATTAGAAAGATAATAGTGGTACTGGGTATTAATTGTATAGTATTAGCATGTATTTAGTTTTATGGTTTTTTTTATGTTTTTTTTTGTTTGTTTAAGTATTCTTCGTGTTTGTTATAACAATTGGGTTAATGATTTCTTTACTTTTTATACTCTAAACAAATTAAATCATTTATGATCTACATTAATTTATTTAATTTCAAGTCATTTTTCAGAATTTAAAAATAATAAACCAAATCATAACATATATTTTATTTTGTATTTTTGTATTTAATCTTTTTTAATTAATACTATACTATTACAGTATTACTTTAACCAACCATTTGATTGATTTCTGCATTATTTGTATGAAAAGTTATATTGCATACGTTATATTATTTTTGAACTTTATATCCATAATTATGAATAGTTTTAGAACTGGTCCCAATATTTTACTTCTTACACATTATGCATTTTTGGGCTCAAAAAATGAAAATATCCAAGGAAAGTCAATTTATTTGCATGAGCATATGGATATCGGTAATCACATCAATTCTCAAAATGATGACATGCCAATTCAAGGTGTACAATTCAACACTCCGACAAGCAATGAGTTTCCAAATGGTCTCAACATTTTTAACATATGGGGACTCTACTGTTTGTTTGAACACTACACAAAATGTAGTTTACAAATAAATTTTCAATAATTTGTAATACTTTTGAATTTTCAATGTCATAACCTATTTTTAATATTATTCTGTATTTATGTAATACTAATTTTACATCTTACAATGCATTCGGTTTTCAAAAAATATTTATACTTCAATTAAAATAAGACTTAAGAATTATTAATAATTTCTTAATATAAATACAATATTTCTAATTTTTAGTCCGTGCATTGCACGGGTGAAATACTAGTTAATTACATAAAGACATATTTCTATAAGATTATTGGTAAAGCTCAAATTTAGATAACCTATGTGCTGGCACAACAATCAAGGGAACATTTTTCTTAGTGACTATCCCAAATTTATCAGATAGGTCAAGATTTTCACCTTTAGGAAGATGCCAGTCAAAGGAGTGCAACAGTGAACTCAAAATATAAATAAGCATTTTCTCCGCCAAGGGAATGCCGGCACAAATTCTCCTTCCAGATCCAAATGGCAAAAACCTATAATCATTGCCTGTATAATCTAAAACAGAAGTTTGGTTAAGGAACCTTTCAGGCCTAAACTCCAAAGGATTGTCCCAAAGTTGAGGGTCTCTATGTATTGCATACATATTCAGAAGGACTCTAGTGCCCTTAGGAATTGTGTATCCGCCAACTTGTGTAGTATGAGTTGGGCACCTAGGGACTAGAAGTGGTAATGCAGGGTATAAACTGAATGTCTCCTTCACAACTGCATCCAAATAGCTAAGCTTTGGTAGATGGACCTCTTCAACAATATTGTTTATTCCTACAATATCATCTAATTCCTTTTGGACCTTTTTCATTATCTCTGGATTATCAAATAATGTTGTCATAACCCACTCCACCATTGTGGATGTGGTGTCCGTCCCCCTATCACAATATCCTATATAAAAATAGTAAACTATAAGTTGAAAAAAGAAGTAACAAAGTAATTAGCAGCTAGCATTGGTTCAAAAAAAAAAAAAAAAAGCAAGCAGCTAGCATTAATAATGACTTTTAATTATAAAGTAAAATGACTTTTAATTCTAGACTACGTAAAATGGTATTATATGAATTAAATTTTATATTTCTTGAAGTAATTTGTTTGATTTACTTGTAGCACTTTTAGTAGATTCAAACATTGCAACCAATTGAAGCATAAACAATACTACATATACCAAAAAAATTGACTTAATATTCAATTTAGTCCTCGATTATAGTGATTTTTCTCGATTTAGTCATAAATGTCTTTTTGTGCTTAATTGGGTACTCGACTTCGATGATTTTACCTAATTGAGTTCCCAGTAACTATACTTGATAATTTCCCCTCGATTAATGCACAATTTAGTTTTTGACTGTAGTTATTTTGCAGAAATTAGTCCTTGACTATAGTAGTTAATACCTAGTTTAGTCATCAACTATATATGGTGATTTTTCTCGATTTAGTACTTTATTCTAACAGATGATGACTCAATTAGGTAAAATCATTAAAGTCAATGACCGAATTAAGCACAAAATGACGTTTATGACTAAATTGAGAAAAATCACTATAGTCGATAACTAAATTTGTATTAACTCAAAAAAATTTATATAAATTAAAATTTTGTATCATTTATATGAGTTTATTTGATTAATAAAGTTTGACAATTCCTCATGTAGTGAATATGGAAGTTAAAGACACTATTTGATACAAAAGTTTGATGGTACAAACAATATAATTCCCTTTTATAGATGATGTGTTTGTGACAATAAATTATTAGTGTGTCGAAAATGAATATTTTCAACTATTAGAAAGTCATTGGAAATGTCAAGCACCTTGTGCTTAGATGACATGTAGTGACCTCTCTCATATGGAAGGTCACGAGATCGAGTTGTGGAGGCGGAATAGATACTATAGTGTAATGGAGTTAGTAGAAAAGTGATTGGAAATTGGGTCAAGTGAGATTGTCTCATGAATCCTATGCTCAAATGTTATACTAATCATGAATGAATTTTTTGTTCCTTATAATTGAAAATGTAATACTTTTTTCATTTTTTAGTAAAAGTATTATATTTTCCATCAAAACTATTACATTTTCCATAATAAGTAATGTTGGCAAGTACTCCTTACTTATAAGAGAAAATATAATACTTTTGAGGATAAATGTAATACTTTTAAATCGAAATGTAAAAGTATTACATTTTCCCTTAAAAGTATTACATTTATCCTTATAAGTAAGAAAAATTTTATTCCTAATTAATATTACATTTGAGTATATATATGTATGACAGTTGTGTATCACAATCATTCATGTTTATCAAATATATACGTGAATTGGTGAAATTCTCTCTCCCTGGTATCTAGGGTTTTTCATGTCTCTCCCTGGTTTCTAGGGTTTTCATCTTTTTCACCGCTTCCGGCAACTTTTTTCACGTTTTCCCCGTTTTTGATCGTTTGCGTAAGGTGTGCTGCTTCGTTGTCGCTCTCTGGTCTGTTTACGACTGTGAGTTCTGGACGTTCAAGGCATAGCGCAGGGTTGTGCGGAGATCACGCTGGACGATGAGGAAACCGGCGTCCGGTTTGGAGAGGAGGCGGGTGCGGTGGAAGCCGAGGGTTTTGCGCAGCAGTATTGGCAGTTGGAAGGCCGCTTTCTGACCGATCGTAATGTTAAGTTTGATGTGATGAGGCAGGTTATGGCCTCAGTGTGGAGGCCATTGATGGGAATACAAGTAACGGAGGTGCAACCGAATCTATATCTCTTCACTTTTTATCATGATACGGACAGGGCTTATGTGTTAGAGAATGGCCCTTGGGCGTTTGAGAATGCCACTCTGGTATATGTCAGCCTTTGCGTCCTGGCGAGCATCCCTCTCATGTAACATTGAACATGATAGATTATTGGATACAGGTACACGACTTGCCAGTCGGATACCGAACAGATAAGGTTTTGGAGAAGGTGGGCGATTACTTATGGCTTTTTCACCGTTTGGATGAAAGGAATTTTGTAAGGCCGTGGACTAAATTTTATAGGGTCAAAGTCACGGTTGAAGTAACGACACCGTTAAAAAGGCGTATGAAGATGATTTTGTGGGATAATACGTGGACATGGGTGAATTTTCGCTATGCACGTTTGCATATGTTCTGTTATTTTTGTGGAAAATTAGGGCATACGGATAAATTCTGTCTTGATGCACGTGTGTCCGGGCTGAAACCTGAGCAATATCCGTTTAGTGCAAGTTTGAAGGCGGGTGGCAACTCACCGGCAAAGGCGGTTGGGGAAAATTGGTTGCAAAAATGGGAGCAAAGGCACCGAGAGTTAGGGCTTGGCGGTGGGGAAGAGGATACTGTTCGGGTTTCATGCATGCATGCAAACGGTACGGGGGGCGGGTCGGTTACGCTAGAGGAGGGTCGTCGTGGTGTGTCGGGGGTGGGGGGTGCTTCAGCCAGTTGGTGCAGGCCGGCCTCGGTGGCTTATAGGGGAAACCTTCGGGGGGAGGGGGAAGAGGGAGTACGGGTGGATCCGAAAAGGAGAAGGGGTGAGGAGAGGGAAGTCACGGGAGGTGTGGTGGTGGAGGAGGGGGTGATGTTGGTTGATTCTGATTCTACTGTTTTGGCGGGACCTGTTGATCAGGCCCGCCCTTCCCAATGAGTATTCTAAGTTGGAACTGCCGTGGCTTGGACAATCCACGGACAGTTCGAGAGATTGTAGACCTGGTTTCCAAAAGGAAGCCGGATTTTGTGTTCTTGATGGAGACGATGGTGGATAGGAGTCATGTGGAGAGGCTCCGTGTGAGGATTGGTTTAGAGGGTGGTTTTGGAGTGGATAGTTAGAGGCAGAAGGGTGGTATGGGTTTCTTATGGGCAAAAAATAATAGTGCTCGATTGCTCAAGTATTCACAAAATCATATTGATCTACTGGTGTCTTTACCAAACCGTCACCATTGGAGGCTCACTTGTTATTATGGTTTTGCTCAAAGCACGAGGAGAATGGAGTCGTGGGACTTTCTACGATCACTTAAGGATGTATCTGACCTTCCTTGGGTGGTTATAGGGGGCTTCAACGATCTTCTTTATCAATCTGAGAAGAGGGGTAGACGGCCACATCCAGCTGGTTGTTTGGAAGGTTTTGGGGAAGCTCTTGTTGATTTTGGTTTGACGACTATTCCCATGATCGGGTATCCTTTCACCTGGGAACGGGGTAAGGGGACACCGGATTGGGTAGAGGAGCGGTTGGATAGGGTGGTGGGGGATACAGCTTGGAGGGATATTCATGATAAAGCCAGGCTATATAATATTCAAACACTGATGTCGGATCATACGGCCCTTTTTCTGGATATTTATAGCTCAGCTACAACACGGAGGCCGCGTAGTTTTCGCTTTGAAAATGCGTGGTTGGAGGATGAGGGGTGTAGGGGGGTCGTGGAGAATCAGTGGTCAAACACGCAGGGTATGGGGTTGCAGAAGAGGTTGTGGACGTGTGGCCAGGGTTTGAAGAAATGGAGAGGGGACCATTTTCATAAATTTGGTTCCAGGATTGATGCTATAAGGCGGGATATGAATGTATTGAGAGGCCGTATGGACCCGGATTCTTTGGGGTGGTTTAGCCAGTTGGATGAGCAATTGTGTTCTATTCTGTCGTAGGAGGAGACTTTCTGGAAACAAAGGGCCAAGCAGCACTGGCTACAGGGTGCTGATCGGAATAAAAATTTCTTCCACCAATATGCCACACACCGGAAGAGGAAGAATTATGTTTTGAAGCTCAAGGATGGGAAAGGGGTATGGAAGGAGGGGGATGGCCTTGTTTCGCTGGTCATGGATTATTATTCACAGATCTTTCAGTCCAGTGGTGAGGCCGGAGTGTTTCACGTGGATACCCTCACACCACGTGTCACACGAGAGCAGAACGATGATCTTCTTCATCCGTTTGAGCCTGAGGAGGTGAAGCACGCTTTGTTTTCCATGGGGAAGGATAAATCGACAAGGCCTGATGGCATGAATCCGGGCTTCTACCAGGCTTTTTGGGATCTCGTTGGTAAGGATGTTACTGATTTTGTGCTTAATTGTTTATCTCAATCATCCTTCCCCCTAGAATTGAATGATGCGAATATTGTTTTAATACCTAAGAAGGCAGCCCCTGAGTTTGTTGCGGATCTCAGGCCTATTGCTTTGTGTAATGTGGTGTATAAAGTAATGGCCAAGAAGATTGTTAATCGTATGAAACCGCTACTTGATAATATTATTTCCGAGTCACAGAGCGTTTTTCTGCCAGGCAGGCTTATCTCGGACAATATTCTAATTGTGTCTGAGGTTGGCCACTACCTACGAAGGAAACAGTTGGGGCAAGTAGGGTGGGCAGCACTCAAATTAGATATGGCCAAAGCCTATGACCGGATGGAGTGGTCGTTTGTGGAGCGTATGTTGTTGGGGCTGGGGTTTGATGAGAAATGGGTCGGACTAATTATGCTCTGTATACGGACAGTCAGGTACAGGGTGTTGGTGAATGGGAAGCCGAGCGAGGAAATAATCCTGTAACACCCCCCAAAAACAAGACCTAAAAACAAGTCTTAACACATGCAGATTAACAACAAAACTAGCACAGAGGAAGATAAACGGAAACTAGATAAAAGAAATCCAAACAGGGGTGTTATGCCACGTATACCACACTAGGTAACGCTAAGGCGACAATCTGCAAGTGTATCACACTAACCCAAAACATCAGTCTAAAACAATCTAAAACCATTGGCGCGCAGGCCACAAAAACACAGTTTAAAGATACAGGTGCTAAGCTACCAGGCTCTAGACATCGCGCTCGACTACTCAACACCTGAAAGAACACAAAGATAAACATAGGGGCGACGCCCGGTCAGCGAATAATGCTGGTAACCCACCAATACCGTTAAGTAT